CGCATTCATATGGCGGCCAGCTTTTGGAAGGTGTTGGCAGCTGTGATCACTGCTCCTCCTGCCTCCCAAAGTAAGGGGTTGCTGCATGCACATTCACACAGCTTTGGGAGGGGTGGAAGAAGCAATCCCAGTGGCCAACCGCTGGAGTCATCGGACTTTATCGCATAAGGTTCAAATCTCCATCAGCCATGGAAACCCACTGGGTGACTTTATACAAGTTACAGTCTCTCAGGCTCAGAGGTAGGCAAAGGCAAATCTACTCTGAACAATTCTTGCCAAGAAAACCATATGATATCGTCACATTGTTGTTGTTGTGTGCCTTCAAGTTGTTTCTGACTTATGACACTCCAGAGTGAACCTACTGAAGGATTTTATTGGCAAGATTTATTCAGAGGGGGTTTGCCATCACCTTCCTCTGAGGCTGAGATCGTGTGACTTGCCCAAGGTCACCCAGTGCACTTCAATGCTGAGCTTGGAATTGAACCCTGGTGTCCAGAGTTGTAGTCCAATACTCAAAATCACTATGCTACGCTGGCTCCTAGGGTCCCCATAGGCAGAAGACACTAGAAGGCAGGTGGATAGACCACCAAGAAAGCCATGGCTTTTGCAAGACCTGAGCAGGGCTGTTGATAATATAGGGTGACTTGTAGGTTCCTCATCCACAGGATTGCCATAAGTCAAAGTCCACACGATGGCAGTTAACAACAATGCCAGGCAATCCATTGACTTGATAGTAGTTTTGCAGTCTAGTCTAAGCCCTTCAAGTGCTGCAAGAAGCTGGAGTTGGGAGAAAGGCGTTACTAATATAGGTTCAATGTGAAGTTGTAGGCTTTCATGGCCAGCATCCATAGTTTTTTGTGGGTTTTTCGGGCTGTGTGGCCATGTTCTAGAAGTGTTTCTTTCTGATGTTTCACCAGCATCTGTGGCTGGCATCTTCAGAGAATTTCCAGCCACAGATGCTGGTGAAACGTCAGAAAGAAACACTTCTAGAACATGGCCACACAGCCCGAAAAACCCACAAAAAATTAATATAGGTTCAGCTTGAAGGCTAGGAATGAATCCTATCTGAAACCTTGGAGAGCTGCTGGAGAGGTTTTTCTCCCTCCCTCCTCATCATCCTGGAACCCTGGGGTCATCCAATGAAGCCAGGTTCATTCATCAGGAAAAATAAGAAATGGAGAAAAATTATTAGGAGTTACCTTTGCGAAGAACCAAAGCCTCCCATGAGCAATGCGTTTACATAGTTAATGGCTGATATGGCTCATTTGTTTTGACCTGGGTCCTAATTAAGAGGCTGGCAATCCACTCTCACAACCGGAGGTCAACAGACATCCATCATTTCATCCCAATCAGGTTCATCTTTTACCAAGGAATGATTGCTCCGATTAAAAAGATTGTTCTCTGCTTTTTTTATATATTACTGCAGGAAAGCAATCTTCTGGCAACTTTTCCCAGGACTTTCTTGGTGGTTGCTCCAGGCTGTGGCTCACCCTTCTGAGGGCAGTTAGGTCACCTTCCT